TAAAGCAGTGATGGCACTTCAGTTGATCAAAACAGGGCTCTTGGTTAAGTTATCACCTAGAATCTACAAACACCTGTAGGCAGAAGATAGGTTACCAGCAATGGCTCTCTATGTGCTCAGATGTGGCACGTTGTGGCAACTATAGATGAACAGCATTGTCTAGGATGATGTTTTCATTGGTATTGGCCTTTCTAGGCTTCACACGCAGAGGAGACTTTCCTCCTTCAGGGCATAAGCTGTCTTTTAACTGCCAGGCATGTTTGCACCATGCCCTAGTACTAGTAAGCCTTTTCCATAGCTGACTACTGTGCAGTTTGAGTCTTCTGCTGAAGTCTCTGATACAGGCCACCCTTTGCCAAGCTGCTGGTTTTCTGAGCCAGTAAGATGCTATGCATATATAGTACTATGCAGAATCTTAACCTCTTATTGCCCAAGTTGGCACGGTCTTCAAGTCCACTCCCATAGCCTGTGCCTTGATGAACATGCTTCAAAGGCATGATACAGGAACATGTTCTCCAAGAAAGTAAGACTTGTAAAACTGGAGTATCTCAGAGTGCAGTTTACTCCATTTTCCATAGTCTGTCCTTCTGAGTAGGAAGGGACTGGGAAGGAAAGAAAGGTACACTTATACTTCCAGTAGCAAAGAGCTATTCTCAAGTGTACTTAGCAAGCTATTGTTAACCTCCCAGTTCTGGAAGATAAAGTGACAAACTAATAATCACTTACAGGGAAATTCCAATCTACACTGCTGATAGCTTTCCATCTTTGACTACAAATATGGTGCATTGCAAACATCTAATCAGTGATCTCTGCCAGAGTTCAGCAGCATCTTATGAATTGCTTTCCAACATCATACATTTAATAGATGGACAGCTGTGTTTTACAGGCTTGTTTTAAATCGACTTATTCAATTGTAGCATAACGAAAGGTGGTTTTGCATCGTTGATAAGCTCCTCGGTTTGTTCTGTAAAACTGAGAGATCCTGTTCAAATGTTGCTATATTGCTTTGACCACTGTCAGCTGACCTGGTTTATTTGAGCTCAGAATGGACATAAAAAAGGCATGCTGTAGATGTTAATCTACTTCATAAAATCAACAGGGAAGAAGGACCCTTTAAAATCACAACCAAATAATGCTTTGCATCTCTCCTCCTAAGTCTTCTGTGGCTGTGTTTGTACCAGAATTGTATTGAAATCCTGTTTATATTATTGCAGAAGCAAGGAAGTAAATGTCAGGCATTTTAAGCTCTTATCAAAAGGGTGGTTCGGGAAACATTAGGCAGCTTATTTCTATACAGAAACAAATCATTACACCTCTTATATGGCCCCTGAAGTTAACCCTTTGGTTGCCTTGTGTGCAACAGTATAATCCAATTCAGATGCCCATGAGTAACATGGGCAAGCATTTAAATTGGGCAAATGACACGCATCATTTGCCAGGTAGTACTGGACTCTACAGGTTTTTTAACTGTACAGTATATCATGATTTAAGCATGCAAGCTGCTCTCAGTTGGAACTGCATGGTTCAGCTGTTGGCACTTCATTGGGGCTTGTTACTTCCTTTCCCTAATGAGGTGTACTTGGTGTATGCCTACCTCTTCCCACTTCGTTGAGACTTGTTTAGTTCAGAGCCTCGGCAAATAAAATGATCAGTTGTTTCACCCTTGTGTCTGCTATGCAGCAGAGTCTGTGTGATGCCTGCAGGAGCAGATGGGGCTGAGGAGAAAAAAAACATTTGGTAGGGGGGTTTGGAAGATTAGCCAAGCCCTGTACATGTCAGGCGATTTCCTGACTGAACAATCCCATTACATGCAGCTTAGGCTGTTTTCTAAAGTAACTTTAGCTATGTATTTGCAAATATTTTAAGAATTAGTTTTAACTAGTTATCTGGGGTCAAATACTGCACATATCATACCTCAGCCTGAGAATTAGCCTCTTCAAGAACTACTACAAATGTCATGACCAGGGATCCTGGTTTTCTCTGTTTAAAAATCACAAAATCTCTAATTAATGCCCCTGCCCCACAGCACCCAAGGCACCTCCACAGCTTAACTGCTGCTCTTCAGGCTGCCTGGCAGTCACGTGTATTAGGGCTGTGCAAAGCTTCAGTTACTGATTCAGTTTAGTGGCTGAATCTCCAAATCCAAATCGAATCAAGAGCCCCATTAATCTCTCTGAATCGAATCGGAACCCTCTGAATTGGTTGTGATGATTTAAACTTAGACACAGCTTTAAATGTTTTTTTTCTTCATACCTCAAGGTACCAAATGGCTTGTGAATGCTGAGATGGTGGGGCACATGGAGTATCCCACAGGAGCACGGTGGGGTCCCCACCACCCCGGGGGGGGTGTCCCCAGCACGCTTAGCAGCAGACCAGGAAGTGGAGCAGAAGAACTTCTGGTTCATGTCCATGTCTACCTGGAAGCATGCTGAGGGCGCCCCCCTGGCTCAGTGACTGGTGCCTCCTAGGTCTGGGGGGGAACCCAGGGTCCCCCCTGGGGCCAATCACTGAGCTGGGGGAGGGGAGGGCCTGAATGCTCAGCAACACCCAGGAGTGGACCGGAAGTACTTCTGGGCCACTTCTAGGTTTGCCACTGAGCACGGAGGGGGTGGGGGCATGCTCCTGGGGGATGCTCCAACTGCCCCACCATCACAGTGTTCAGGAGCTGCGCTTGGTACCACGAGGTATATAGAAAAAACACTTGAAGCCGTGTCTATGGCTGAATTGCTAATTCTCCGAATCAGCATCGAATCTTCGGATTCGGCCAAATTGAATCGGGACTGATCCGAATCACTGATTCAGATACGGCCTGTTTCGCGTGCCCCTAATGTGTATGTGTGCATGTGCAGATGCACACAGCATCCCCTCCCACTCCCCCCAGCCTGTTTCCAATGTTTTTCTCCTTAAAATGAGAAAATCTGGGGTTTTCTCCTTTTGAGAGAACCCAGATTCCTGGTCATGCCTTAAATTGCTTGTTCGTATAGCAGACTTGAAAGATCATTTTTTGTCTCTCTGAATAGACTTTTCTTCACAAAGGAGTTGTGATTTTTGACAATGAGATAATTTTGTCTAATCTAAATATTGTGGTTGCAGCTTCATTTAGCTAAAAATGATGCTGATGTTGAGTGTGTTTCAGCCAATTTCTGCGGCCAACCTTCTTTTAAAGCGAAAGTTGAAGTTTTGAAATGATTAAGAGGTGGTGCAGTGAACACTTGGTTTAGGGTTTTTAATTGTCTTTAGGTTTTAAATTGCAGGGCATTAATCAAGTCTTATTGGCTAAATCTAAAACTTCCTGAGGGCATTCATGGTGTTGTGGTGTTTTCTCTGTTTGATATCAAAGAACAACTTTTTCTTCCTACTGCGTAGCGTAAAAGCAAACTTTATACCCCATCTTATGTTTACTTCCATCTCATGCTCTGGTTTCACGGACCATGGTTGTACTACCTGCTTACATACTGCTGACAACGTGTTTGTCCCCATTAAGGCATGGTTGAACAAGTCTGCACAGATGGAGATTACAAGTAGTGTTCAGCAAAGATTAATCATTGACCTCACCACTTTTTGGATTCACCCTTGGAGTAAAGATTATCTGCTTCTGTTTGCATCACAGTGTCAGAGACCTTATGGAGGCAGATGATTGTTTACTGCAGCACGCTGAGGATATAGTATGGGAGAGCAAGATTGGCAAGTTGTTGCAACATCTCAGTTAGTAGCCACCTTTGTCAATTAGACACTTGAAGTGTAGGTGCTGCAACCAATTCTACATAGCATGACCTAAATGTCACCTAGTGTGTGGAACAGTTGGGAAGAGTGCCTGTTTTGGAAGATAGTACTCTTCGTAGCGCTGTATGAAAATAGCTGTGTAACAGCGTAGGCTTTTTTTATAGTCAAAGCCTCTATTCCCCCTACATTAAAACTCCCTTTGGGTTAATTTTTATTTTATGCAAACTATACCATGTTTACTGACGTACAAATATTGGGGTTAATGTAGCCCTTTGTAACCTGTGATGCCAAGAGGGAATGTTAGTGACTTACCACAGACTGGTAACTAGTGGTGGTTGCAGCTAGAAGGTGCTCGTTGAAGAATTCAGTGGTGTGAAAATTAACTTGTATTAAGGTGAAGTAGTTTATAGTAGGTCACTGTGCGCAGTTGGGAAGCAAGGTATTCCAAGCAGACCTGGAGAAAATGTTAATGCCAATGCACTGAGCTTTACTTGATGGCAACTTGTTGCTGTTTATTTCTTTTCTAATTTATCACCTTAATGTCTGCTGGACCTCTTGTATTTTGACATGCACAGAGTTGGTAAAAAAAAAAAAAAAAAAAAAAAAAAAAAAA